ACCTAGGCAATGTCGAACTGTCTTCTAAGGTGTCCAAGGCTGAAAATCTTTACTGGAGAAGAAAGCCTCATCTTTCTCTATCAAAGTGCCTAGTGGGTTCAAACTGCTGACCTTGCAATTGCACTACCAGGGCTCCTACCAGGGCTTCCTTATTAGGAAACCCTATACCTGGCTAACGTCCCCAAATCTGACAATGTCAATTGGTGGCAGGGCTGCAGAGCAACAAGTATCTTCAGTCATTTCTGGTGAGAATGCAAAATGTACACTACTTTAGAAGAGAGTTTGGTAGGTTCTTACAAAGCTAAACATAGGTTTGCCATACAATCCAACAACTAAATTAAAAATTTGGCTCCGCACAAACATTGCATGCCAAAGTATTTTTCTATGCAATTGCTTATAAATAGGAAGAACCAAAATTTATTTTCATCGTTTTTGGACAAATGTGCTAGAGTCATAAAATGGAATACTATTTATTGATAAAAAGGAACACATTTTCACTCTTAAATGTCTATGGATCCGTGGTACATTACTAATTTAAAAGACTGTATGTTGCATGAGTCCATTTATATGACTTTCTCCAAAAGGCAAAACTATAGAGACAGTAAGCAGATAAATAAATTGTAGAGGTCTGGAGGGATGATTTGTTTAATAGGTGAAGTATAGGGAATTTTCAGTGTGATGGAGCTATTCATGATTTTATAATAGTCAATATGTGACACTTAACATTTTCCCAAACTCATTGAACTATATATATATAGTACAAATAGCTCACCTTAACAGGTAAATTAAATGCTGTTTAGGACCCCAGGGTGGAATGAATAATTTGACAAAGGAATTTAACGGTATTATGAACATATGAGGCAATCTTTATAAAGGAAGTGGGAGGAAAGGTGTATGGAAATTGGTGGAAGCTGTAAGACTACTGGGGAGAGGAAACGCTTACATGTGAAAATTGCATTTTAGTTCGTAAGGTCAGTTCCTGCATATGTACAGGTTAGCATTTCTAATCATAGTAATACAAGAATGTTGGTATCCAACAACTAAGGCAATGGATAACAGATTGTGAAAGCCAAGTTTCTCACTGTTTGAAGGTGGTACTAGATAAGAGTTGGAACTAGCTCAAACATCAATATTAATTCATGTTTAGTTATTATGTATACAAAGATTGCCTATAGAAATAACTCTAGATGTATATATGTGTAAGTTCATCTAACTCAAAACCGAACTCCCTGCCATCAGGTATATTCCAACTCATAGTGACTCTGATGGTGTAGTTACGCATTGGGCTGCTAAGGGCAAGGTGAGCAGTTCAAAACTGCCTGCCACTCCCTGGGAGAAAGATGAAGATTCCTATGCATAACATCTAACCCTGCCGCCATAGCTACTTTGTTCGTGAGATCATTCTGCAGACCGTGTTATCTATCCACTTGATTATTAACATCCTCCTCTGCAGAGATAGCCTTTAGGTGGGCAATCATGTGAGACACAAATATCATCACCTTTTGACCCATTCAGAGAGGTTTAGCCACAAAATACTTCTGGGACCCGACAGCCTCATCTTTCTTACTCAGGGTGGCTGGTGGGCTTGAACTGCTTACCTTGCAGTTAACAGCCCAATGTGTATGATGCTGGTGAAGAATAATGCAAGTACTTTGGACTGCCAGAAGAAAAAACAAGCCTGTCTTGGAAGTAGTGCTACAAGAATGTTCCTTAGAAGCAAAAGTGGTGAGGATTTGTCTCACATACGTTGGCTATATTATCAGGAGAGACCAGTCTCGGGAAGGATACAGTGACTGCCACATGGGCTCAGACATATGAAAAATTAGGAGGAACGGGCAGTGTTTTGCTCTGCTCTGCATAGGCTGCCATGCGTCTGAACCACCAACTGGACAGCACCTAACAAGAACGGTGGACTCCAGGATATTCATTTGTACTTTGGGTTATAATTCAATACTAACCCATTTATTTATTGTAAATGTTTCCAGTTTTGTTCACTGGGACCTCTTTTAGTTAATTTTTGCAGCATCCTGTGGCAAATCTCTGTGTGGGTGTGTGAACACTTCCTTAGTTTCAGGAACACCAAGATGCTTCAGAATCACATATCTGGTATCAATTGTAGAATACGTCATTTTTCTAAGTAGTCTTGGCTCCTTTTATTAAAAAATTATATTCGTAACCAAGATCTGAGTGTAGGTATACTTGTTACCAAAGTATCATTGATTCTCTACCCTCTCAGATGACAATGAAGACAATACATATGTGTATACTAACTTAATCATAGCAACCTTATAGGACAGGACAAAACTGTTACTCTTTACAGGAGTAGAAAATCTCATCTTTCTTCCATGGAGCAGCTGGTGGTTTTGAACTACTTACCTTGCCCTTGGTAACTGTGCCAAAAGGGTCACCATGAGTTGGAATCTACTCAATGGTAGAGAGTTAGTTTTGAGTTATACCAATTTATATATATATACACACCTATATATGTATATATGCATATATATGCAAACACATTTATAGTTATTTCTATAGATACTGTTAGTAGGTATAGTAACTAAACATGAATCCATATTGATGTTTGATCTAGTTGGCCTCATCAACATGAACTTCCACTCAAAAAGGCCAACTTAGATATTGCCACTGCTGAATGCGCAATTGGCCAGCAGCAGAGATTAAGTCCAAGGTAAGGGCCATCTCTTAGGGAGAATAACCATCCAACTTGTGGCAGGTCTGTTACACTTCCATCATGGAAAAGGCACTGTTTTGTTCTCACTGGAATAGACACTTGTTCTTGATATGGATTTGCCTCCCTAGCACACTTTACTTCTGTCAAAATGACCATTTATGGACGTACAGAATGCCCTATCCACTGGCATAGCATCCTGCACAGCATCACTTCAGATTTAGTGTGGCAATGGGCCCATGCTTATGAGATCACCTGGTTTTACCATGTTCCCCATCATCCTGAAGCAACTGGCTTGATGGAATAATAGAACGGCCTTCTTTTCTTTGTGATTGTTTGGCTTTTTATGTTAGCCTGCTTCAATTTTTAAACATTTAAATATTAACTATGATTAATCAAAAATTAATAGAACTTTTCACCCCTGACTTATGACTTAATTCTTTTTTTAAAACAGTTTTATGGTCACTTCATCCACACATCATACAATTCAATAATTCAATAATATTAACAAGAGTTGTACAATCATTATCACAATCAATTTTAGAACACTTTCTTTTTTGTACTCATTGTTATCCGTGTAATTATGAATTTTTTAATTATGGCAAAAATATACACAATAAAACATTATCCAATTCAACAACTTCTTACATGTATAATTCAGTGCCGTTGATTATACTTTGTGCTGTGCAATCATTATTGATATTCTTTTCCAAATTATTCTATCACTGTTATCATAAACTCAATGCTCCCTAAGCAAAAACTCTTCCTCCTTCACCCATGGTAACCATTGATCTACCAATGGTTTCTTTTTTTTTTAGTAGTGTTTTTAAATATAAAATTCACATATCATACGCTTCCATAGATAAGTCATTTTTTCAAAGTTGTATATACATCATCATAATAAGTTCTAGTGCTCCCTCTCCATTTCCACATTCATTGTCTGCTCCCCAATTCCCCTTACCCTCCCCACCCCCAACCCCCAATAAATCATTGCATCACTTATTGTCTCTATGGATCTTCTCTTTCTTTGCTTCATAAACTGGGAAACCTAACAGAAACCATCAAAAACAAAACCAAAATGAAACGGAAAAAAAGAAAATAATAACATAAAGACATAAATAAAGAGGAAGAAAGAAAAGACCACCCTCAATATTTAAGAAAACAGAGAAGAAATATCTGTTGTGAAACAAGTAAGAAATATTTAAGCCTAGACCAAATTCAGGTTGGGTCAAGAAGGAGATCAACTGACCATGTGTCATATTATGCCATAGTTCAATGCCCCATAATCAAGTTTATAATAATCTGTCTGATAATAAAGCTGTTCTAGTCCCTTGCCTGTGACCAGAGGAGCTCTGCCAGAGGCGTACTCTAAATAAGATACTCTGAAGATAGATTTTGAGCTCCCACTATCCTCCATAGCCTTCTACAAATTGGGTGTTCACAATTTAAGCTCTGATACTTTTCTCTTCATGAAATTTGTATTTTGTTATCTTTGGCTCACACAAGCTGGTGTGCTTCTTCAATGTGGACTTAGTTGAAGATTCGCTTAGATATCTGCTCGTTTAAATACAAGCCTTTAAAACCCCAGACACTATTCCAATTGGTAACCAATCACCATCTGCTTTCTTCACCACACTTTGCTGTAGTACCCTTATCTTCAGTGATCTCTTCATGAAGGTGAGTGTTGAGCAGGGTAGAATGGCCTTCTAAAGACACAATTATAGTGCCACTTAGGGGGCAATGTTTTGCACGTTTGAGGGAAGGTTCTCCAGTAGACTCTATGTGCTCTCAACTAGCTTCCAATATATCGTGGTATTTCTCCCATAGCCAGAATTCATGAGTCTAGGAACCAAGGAGGGTGAGAAATGGAGCAACACCACATATTATTATTTCTAGTGGCCCACTTGCAATGTTTTTGTTCCTGTCTCTGCAACCTTATGCTCATTGAGTCTTGAAGTCTTAGTTCCAAAGGGAGGAATATTCCTACTTGGAGGCAACACATTCCATTGAACTAAAAGTTAGGAATCTTCCGGGCATTTGGGGTCCCGCATGCCTTTGGATCAACAAACAAGGAAGGGAGTTACTGTATTAAGTGTGTGACTGATCATAATCACTAAGATCAAATTAGATTGGTATTATTTATGGGGGAAGTAAAAGAGATGTCTAGAATCCAGGCGATTCTTTAGTTGGTCTCAGTACTGCCATGTCCTGTGATTTAAGTAAATGGTAAACCAATGCAACACCATTGTGGCATGACTACTTATGGTCCGCACTCTTTGGGAACGAATGTTTGGTTCAACCTGGCAAGCAAAGAACCATGACCAACCAAGGTAACTGCTGAAGTCAAAGGAAATACGGAAGGGGTGGTGAAAGAAAGCAGTTCTAGATACCAGCTAGAGAGTTGCAGAGACTCTGACTCTAATTGTTATGAGTATTTGTTTTATTCTGACTGTAATTGTAGAAAATCACTGATTTGAACCCAACATCCCACTCCCTGAGAAAATGATATGCAATTGGTTTCCAAGATTCACAATCTTGGAAATCCTTATAGGGTTATTGACTTGAAATAAATTCCATAGCAATGGCTTTGGATTGTTGATTATAAAATAGAGAGAGTTGGGGTCCTGAACAGTTTCATGGGATTACCAGTTTGCCAGAGGCAAAGCTAGGATTAAAAACCAGCATTTTGAAGTATCTTTTTACCACCTATAAGGTCCTAAAATAAATAAAATATTTGAAAATTATTTGATCAGAATAGATTGCAGTTACAGACTAAGCCTTACATGCCACTCTCTCATTTAGAAGATTTGGTATTGTGTTAACTTTCAGATTTACATTGACACATTGCTAACTCCTACTTACCTTGTGGTTTATATGATTACAGATTAATTTTATGCCATGCATTTGCAAAATAAATTCTGTCCAACTTGATATTTTTAGCTTTCTTCTTTCATAAGCTACTTCTTGTACACAGCATATTGAGCTAATTGAATTATCAGTACTTTTTAAGACTATTTAACATGAGATGCTTTAAAATACTGAACCTTGAAATCAAATAAAATTGAATTAATGTTAAAATGAATTGTATTCCTTATCTACCTACAATTAATTATATTTATTGCTAGTGTAAAAATACATTAGATTAGCATATATGCTTTGAAATCTGTGCCATTCTTCATCTTGCTAATTTAATTTGGATATGTATTTTAATATGTCTTCTAAGAGTTGAGTTTTCAATTTTGGTTTACAATTTTAGACTTCTCCCAGTCTAAATATGGTCTTATTTTTCCACATTTAGGCTTTCCCATAAATATTATCACCTTATATTTAAGTGTAGAAGTATGTGTCACAATACACTTTAATGTAGCTACTAGAATGACTTTAACTTTGTAAGTCAAGAGACCCTCAAGGTTCAGAGATCCAGGACAATGCTGCATCCAAAAGTATGGATAAAACTCTTCAGATATCATTTCAAATCTGTCACAGGGCATTACAAGAGATGTAAATACATGCTCCTCATCAATGTTTACAGTGAAACCTGTGAGCACCAAAGCATGAATGATGGACTGCTTCCCCCCCCCCCCACCAGTTTGTTCCCTCTGACAGGGTGTAGTCTTACTACCTTTCTATTTGTGGAAAATATTTGTGTTTTCCTTCTTGTGCAGGTTTCCATTTTGCATACATTCTGACTTTTTTCAATTTTACTATATTAAAATCCCCTTTCCTATACTATTTCTCTCATCCCTCAATAAGTCTCTCCCCATCAATAAACATCTCCCCTTAAACTTCCAAAAGGAGCCCTGGTGGTGCCCTGGACCACTAACTGCTAGGTCAGAAGTTCAAACCCACCAGTTACTTTGTGGGAGGAAAACCAGGCTGTCTTCCACTATAAAGATTTACAATCTCAAAAACCATAAGGAGCAGTTCTATGTGGTCATTATGAATTGAAATGGACTAAATTGCAATGAGGTTTTTTTTCTCCTTAAACCTTCAGCCTTTTAAACATTGCATTTTTCCCTTTTCTTTTTCCTCTCATCACATTGTTCAGTGGAATGATGGAGACTTAAACTGAACACCAAACAATCTGCCCCTGTTACGAGAGAGAGGACCCCTGGCACAGTGGTTAAAGTGCTCAGCTGCCTACCGAAAGGGCAGCAGTTCAAAGCTATTTCATGAAAAACATGTGCGGTCTCCTTCTGTAAAGATTTACAGCCTTGGGAACCCTACGAGGCCGTCTACTTTGCCTTATATGGATCCTATGGGCCAGACATAATTGCCTCCATGGCAATGGGTTTGGTTTTGGTCAGGAGATCAAGAGGTTAACAATTGGCTTCATCTATGTAGGTTTTCTCTTACTGGCAAAGTGAGGTACTTATTGTGCCAACCTGGCTGATGAACACACGTAGGATTAACTGAAGGGCAGAGAGCTAAATGGCTCAGCGAGCCTCGCCTTCCTTGTCTCTTGCTCTTTGATCATCGGACCATTGTGTGGCTGCCTTGCTTGTTCTATGCCTCAATTTGCAAGCTACACTACCTCTGGGAAACCTTACCTGTGGACTGTGTCACTGTAATTTGAGGCTCCTTCAAGACCTGCTTCGCCACACCATTGGAATTTACATCTCTTGAGCTGGGGACTGTTGGACCCTGTCATCTGGCTGACTGTTGGTGACCTACCTTGCTGTTTGCTGCCTGTGCCCAGATAGCCTGAATTGCTCTACAGAGGACTACCCGGCGGCCCTCAAGACTTGAAGGACTGCCAGTGTCTCACAACTGTCTCACGGGAGTGAGTTGCACTGAGCCATTTGTACTGCTTTATAATTTAATTAGCTGTTTATTTCTTATGTTATCTATCTATCTGTATAAAGATCTATAAAATTATTAGCATTCTGGTTTTGTTTCTCTAGAAAACCCTGTCTAACACACAAAGGAATGACAAAAATCATAGCACATGACCCTATTCATCGTGTTTTCTGATACAATAATTAAAAACTTTCATTGAGCAAAATTGTGTTGTAGAAATATTACATACACATTTTTATGAATCTAGCACTTACCCTTTCAGTAATAGTTAAGTGGAAACAAATAATTATTCAAGTGCTTAACTCTAGAATGCCTGAATTTTTAATTTCAGGAAAAAATTTTTTTGTTTTTATGCTTTACTTTCATAGTTATCAATATATATATATAAATATATATTAATATATACATTTTAATTAAATGTTACAAAAACATTTTATTTAAATGTCACGCTCGGTGTTATAGGGTTAATTCCATGACACTTGAATAGGGTCTAGGAAATATAAACCACAGGGGGGAAATACAATATATAAGAATCAAAATGGTCAATCTTCAATGCTTCATTTTTCTTATTTTGTGTTTTTATGATTATCATCTAGTTTATTACCAAATTCTCTACTTTAAGATGAGAGAGACATTTCTACTGTCCATGCACTTCATCAGCATTAACAGTGCTTATCAACTCCTTGCACATGTGCTTTAAATGCCCAAACCCACACCCTGGCTCTTCAGTGCACTCTGACTCACCTCACCCTCAGGGAAGCGAGATACTTGATGTGGCTCTTCCATTCAGAGTCATTGGAACTGATGGATTGGAGCACGACTCTTTTCTTAAAGAGTTAGTTTCACCATAGGAAGGAACTCCCACAACCATCGGGGAAAAAGAGTGTGTGTGAGATCCCTATCTAAAGTGCTGGATGCCATGAAGGAAACATTAATTCTAACTCCTTCCTTCAGTTATTCAAAATGGTTTTGTAAACAAGAAGGCAAGTCATCTGAGGTTCTCTATGGGCAAGTCCTTTTGGCTCACCGAGGTAGTCAGGAATTATACAGAACTTGTCATTTGGAAGCAGCTTCCCTTGAAGCCTTAGCAACTGAGGAAAGCAAGACTTGAGCCCTTGGTACCTCTCCCAGGCCAACCAGAATCTCCCTATGCACCTGTGGTGAGCTTTTCCTGACTCCCAGATCCAGAACCCCCTGTGTCTATTGGGGTCACTGAAAATCCTGAAAGCAAAGCCACAGCTAGAAACAAATGCTAGAGATCTACACTGCCCCCTTCAGACAGTGGGCACAGGAGACTTTGTCACCAGCTTATAAGCATCCTTCTCCCTCTTGTATCTGAGGCAAATTAAGACAGACCTGGGAAAGTTCTCAGATGACCCCCAAAAGTATATAGACACTTTCCAGAGACTGACCCAGACTTCTGACCAGTCTCAGAGAGATGTAAGGCTTCTGCTAGACCAGACAATTCAGAGTGATCCATAATGTCAGAAGCAGCTCAGGCCTTTGGAAATGACCGGTACATTTTGAATGCATGGGATGACATGACCTCTGAGGAGAAGGCCTTATTCCCCACAAGAAACTGGGAAGTTCCCTTAGTTGATCCAGAATGGGACCCTGATAAACATGGAGATTAAAATAGGAAGCACTTTCAAGCCTGTGTATTAGAAGCCCTCAGAGTATTCAAAAGAAAGCCCTTATATTATTCTAAGTTCTCCAATTAGGCAAGAAGGAAAAGAACACAGCATTTCTGGAGTGATTGAGGGAGGCCACGAAGAAGCACACCCCAGTATCCGCAGACTCCTCTGAGAGTCAAGTATTGTGGAAGGATACGTTTATTACTCAGGAATCCCAAGATATAAGGAGGAAGCTACAAAAGTTGGCTCTTGACCCTAGTTCACACCTAGAGAATCTTTTGAAAATCGTTACCACTGTCCTTTACAAGGAGACCAGGAGGAGAGGAAGAAAAGAGATAAGAGGCAAGGAAAAGGCCTTTGTCAGGGTGCTCCAATAGGCTAATCCAGAAACTTTGGGGGCGGTCCTCAGAGGACAACTTCCAGAACTTGTTACCTATATGGTCAGCAGGGTCATTTCCTAAGGAACTGGCCCCATAAGGGCAAGGGACCACCTAAGCCCTGTCCCCAGTGCTGGGAGACCACTGGGGAAGTATTGTCCTGGGCAGCACAAGCAGCCTCGGTGCGCTCCACCCATCCAAACTAGGCCGAAAGAGCCTGAGGTAGTCCTTCTCAGCATCTGCAAGTTGTGTGACCCTCAGGGACTCCCTGTCTCCGCCCC